ACACACACACACACACACACACACACACACACACACACACACACACACACACAGGGTAGAGGGTACGACTTCAGATAAGGGGTTGGGGAACTCTGGCTGACAGGGGTTATAGGAAGAAGCAGGTGAGGGATGGAGTCACTCCTGGGTCCAGGGAGCCTCCTGGCAGCCCCCTCCCCCTGATTTTCACCCCACTATACCTCCCCCCCGCCACCTGCAGGCCTTACCTTCCCCTGTCTTAGAGGTGTTGATGTCTGAGTCGTCCCGAGTACCACTCTGAGCCTCCAGGTAGGTGGCAGGGACCCAGCCCTGCTCCTCAGAGGTGCTTACAAACCACCAGCCTGTGGAGGGGACAAGACAGAGCAGACCATGAGGGGCCAGCTGGAGGGCAGGCAGGGTTGGGGCAGAAGGAACACACAGCAGCAGAGGTCAGAGTGCCAAGGGACAGCTGGTCCCCAGGTGCAGCAGCTCCCCAAGGAAGAGGAGACTCCAATATGCTCCCTGGGAGAAGGGCTGGGAAAATCGAGGTGCCACTACACACCATGGGTTGAAAAAAAATGGAACAGAAATCAAGCTACGTCCGGAGTGTGGAGTTCTACCCTGCCATGAAGGCCAGGGCGCCCTGGCCAAATGCGGAGACCACTGTGGGCTTTCAAGCTCTGGGGACTATTGGCTTGGCTTGAAGTGCGGCTGCTTCCCAGGGCACCCACACCCCAGGGCCTCAAGGGTCCACACTGGCAGGCCAGCGGCTCCCTTTCCCCATGGCCACGCTGCTGGCGGCCACCTTACAAGTGGGTTGACATTTCACCCACAGCAAGGGGCCACTTGAGTGCCCCTTGACCCTTGGGGGCGGATGAGAAAAGCTCATCAACACTGGCGGAGTAAATCACGCTGAAGCCCCCAAAAAACGATGGTGCGTTGGCTGGGGGTGGGGTGGTGGGGACGGTGGGAGAAGGCTGGTCTGGGGGAGTAGGTGGTGCCATTTCTTTGGAACACAGCTGGGGCAGGGAGATAGCAGGAGACCTCCTTGTTCAGATGAGGTGGTGGTGTGTGTGTGTGTTGCCCTTGAGCTGGGAAGGTGAGGAGGGGCTGAGCATGGGCAGAAGAGGCTCAGGTCCCTCCACTCAACCAAGGATGGGTGGGGTGGGGTGGAGTGGGGGTGAGGGGTGGCCGGCCCTTCAATGGTTCTTGGAAAGCCCCACCCAGCGGTAGATGCTCGACCAGAGAGTGCTTGATGGTTCCCAGGGGCTCTGTGGGAATGCTCCAGGGCAGGGCAGGGTGGGCTTTGCTATCTGAAAAGTGGCTCAGATGCAGTGGAAGGGAGATGGGTGGGCGACACAGATCTTGGGCCCCCACTGATAACCTTCAGTCCCTTCTTGGAAGGAACGCTTTAGGGAATCCTGTTATCTCCCCCAATCCATTCTTTGTCCTCCACAGGGATTTGACCTGTTCTTGCTGTGTTCACCAAAGACCTCTCATCTCCAATCCTGGGTGGACGCTCTGCCACCCCCCATCCCCACCGGCCTCCGTGGCCCAGGTGCTCAGGACAGACCTGGCCTCCTAGCACAAAGCCCACAGGAGCCACAGAGAGGAAGGTTAGTATGCCCACCACCCATTCACATGGTGGAGGGAGCTGCAAGAGGCACCTCTCTTGACCCAGGGAGTCCCCGAGCTCTGTGACTACCGAGAAGGAAGCAGGCTTACTCTCCACGGAGTGTCCCAGAGGTCCCTCCGTCTATCTTTGCCAGAGACGGCCGGCCCCACTTAGGGGGAGGAGAGAGGAGTGGCCAGTGGGCAGGGGGTCCTTCGGTTTCCTAAGGACGGAGCTACAGAAGGGTTTGGTGGCTGGTGAGTTGCTCCCAGGTGGCTCCGGAAGGCAGTGCAGAGAGATTTTGCAAGAATGGACCCCAATGCTGTGACCAGGGCAGCGTGAGAGGCCCCTGCCTGAGAAGGAGGCCATGAAAGCAGGAGGGAAGCCCAGAGATGAGCGGAGAGAGTCAGTGCTGATGAACATCTCATTTGAGCTCCTGGCTCCAGCCGGTCCCAGACCAAAGCTCCACTCCTCACTCAGACTTCCTAATTCCATCAGTCAATGCACTTCCTGTTCTGTTGAACTGAGCTGGAGCTGGGTTTTCATCACTTGAGCTCAGAGCGCCCGCACGCAGGCCACCCTGAACCAGCGATCACCAAAGATGGTGGCCCCCATCACAATCCAGGACTGCGGTCCCAAAGCCAAGTCACCAGGACCACTGCCAGTAAAACAGCAGCTGAGGACCGGTCCCCCTGCGCCATTCTGGGTCACATGGCCGCTCGCCAATTCCTGCTGAGTCCCACACAGACAGTGCCCTCAAAGTCACATGACTCCTCGGGGTCAAGTACCAATGCCAAAGGCAGATGACCACGTTGGTTCTCACTCTCATCCAGACTCTCCCCAAACCGAGCTCCTGTGGGCCAAAGAGGCGCCCTGAAGGCCCATCTGAGAGGGAGAGCCCTACTTCCTAGGAGAAGGTTTCCCCAGGAAGGGCCTGAGCCGGAGCCAGGGGTTTTATTTTTATCGGGGTGGGTCCTTGGGACATGCCTCAAGGGCTATGCCAGCAGTCGTGGTGAGGATGCGCCAAGATCCCGCCCAGCCCTGCCTCTTTTTCCCCTTGAAGGTGTGCTCCCTGCCAACTCTCGCTCCAGAACACGCAGCTTTCTCCCCATCTGCTTCCAAGAGGAGAACATGCCCGCCCTTCCCGTGTGCGCCCAAGGTTTCCAGGAAAGCAGGGGACATGCGGTCTCCTGGGTGGCTTCTGAACCTTGCCCTTCAGGGTCTGCATTGCACCACCCACCCTGAGGAAGTGAAGGAGCCAGGCCACCTCGGTGGGCACCAAGAAGGCTGTGGAAGGGCTTGCCTGGGGGGGTTTCCCCGCCTGTCGGTGTCCTCCTCTGCTATGAAGAAGCAGGCCCACCACAGACGGACCTCCACTCGGCATGGACCTTTCCCTAAAGCTCCAGATCCATTCCCTGCTCCACGGCGTCTCTCCTCGCCCTGGGCTCATACATGGGGACTGGGAGCCCTTCCAAGAGCATGCTGCTCCCTCCTTCCTCCTCGGACCAAGAAATCTGGGATAGGAAGGCGGATCAGGACTTGCTGGCAATGCCAATGGGCAGGGCAGGAGGGGCCTCTCTGGGACCTCGGTCTCCCTGGCATACAGGGAAGAGGGGTGGGTAGGGGCTGGCAGAGGGGCTCACCTCGCACCTTAATATGGGGGCATGTATGCAGGGTGCAGGGGGGCACCTCACACCACTCAGGGCCCTGGCAGTGCTCAGGGCCAGCTCTGAGTCCTTTTGACCTTAGCAGCTCTACACCCACCACCCGCTGTTTCAGGAGAGCCTGGGCCACGTCACTGGCCTCCACCCAGCATTCTCCTGTATCACCCACTGCCCAAGACTTGGGGCTGAGACCCTTTTGCGGTCCCTGCTCACCTTGCCTAAGAACAGCAGCTAGGGAGCAGCATGGGGTTGTGTGACTTGAAATCCCTCCCTGCCCCGCTGTCAGGCAGCAGCGGGGAAGGAGGGTGCAGAGATGAGTGGGGCTGTAGGCACCTCTGCCAGGCAAAGAGGCAAAGGCCCACACCCCACCCAGGTGGGTACCGGTAGACATGGGCAGAGGCGGGCTGGCTGGCTGCCCCGGCTCACGCAGACCTCCCAGGGACACTGGCACGCGTCGGCTGGCCGGGCCTCTCTGGGACTAGCCCTGGGCCTGCTCCCACTCATGGCTGCTGACAGGCCTCTCCCACATGCCCACGGCTCAAACGGCAATTACGGCAACTGGGGTGCCAACCAAAGTCCCTGCTGCTTCAGAGAGGCACACTGAACCTGAGCCCTTGGGTGTGGCCCAGCTGGCGGAGCCTGGCACAGCCGGAGAGGGTGGTGGTAGTGGTGTGTGTGTGTGTGTGTGTGTGTGTGTGTGTGTTTCCAATCTCACCTCCAATGCGGGCAGAGGTCTGTTCATGCAGTCATGCAGTCTGGTGGTGGTGTGCTGGGGCCCAGTGTGGACAAAGGCGAGGGGGTTCTGAGTACCCGGGAGGAGACGTATGCTCACATTCTCTTCATGGTGTGGGTGGCGAGTCGAGGCACAGGGAAAAGCAGCAGCCTTCCTGCTAGCTCTGGCTACTCTCCTAATCTTACCTGAACCGCTGTCCGTCCGCCTCACAAGTCAGCTCACACTGAGCCTGCCCGTGTGAGTTTATTCCCCGGGCAGCCGGCGGGAAGGTGAGGAAACGGACATGTCGCACAGTCTGAATCTCGTCCCGACCACCTCTCGACTCTGTGGCCTCAGGGAAGTGACTCAGCCTTTCTGAGCCTCAGCTTCCTTGTCGGTACAATGGCAGAGTGTCATCTACCTTGCAGATCGCTGTGAGGAGCAGCGGAGACACAGAACAGTGCAGGGGGGTCCGGTCCCACCCAACAGGCGCGCTGGGACATACTTATGAAGGATGCAGAGGGCAGTTAGGGGTCAGCCTGGGTGACCTCCTTTCCCAGCCCAGCAAGGATGGATTCACACTCCCAGCTGCCTCCACCGGCCCTCCTCTCCCATCCTCCCAACCTCCTCTACTGAGGAGAGGGCAGTCAGAGAGGGGGACTTAGCCTTGGGGTCCTCTGAGGTACAATTCTGGGCCTTGCCCCACCTGGAGCGAAGAGGGAGGGAAAAGAAGGATGCAAGGAAATGGCCCAAAGGCCTGATCGCCTACAGGAACCTCAGCTTCCACGACCCTGAGACCTGGAAGCACTAGATGGTGCCCAGCTTCAGCAGGGGCGGGGTGGGGGTGTGATGTGTGACAGTTCTGAAAGGGACCAAAACGCAAAAATCCTTAAAAAAACCCAAAAAACCCCCAAAAAATCACAACCAGATTTTCTGGGGTAGAACCTCTGAGGTTACAGTCCCCAGGCACCCTTCAAACCTAGGACTAAATTCACCAGGGATGGTTCAACTTTTGGCCAGATGGATGGCAGCCTGCAGGGTGAACCAGGTGCCACCAGGAAGGTGTGGGCACACACGCCTTGGCACAGTGCAAGCACACATGAGAGCAAAAGGGCAGTGCTTGCTCAGGGAGTGAGCTCGGGAAGCAGGAGGGGCGGGAGAGGGGGCGGGGGACGTACTGAGGTGGGCGGGGACTGTAGCCCTGCACAGGGGCAATCAATGTCACAAACTGTATCACGGATCATCCAATGGAAACCAGTTTAGTCTGTTCACTTCCAACCAAATCACTCCCCGCCCCAAAAGTTTGAAACAATAAATAGAGGACTTAGCCTGGGCCTCATGCAGTAGCCACAGCTGTGTCCAGATGGGGTGGAT